ACTTGAAATTGATTTAATGGCTTGAACCATAGCTCAGTCAGTTCAGAATATGGAAAATGATAGTTCTACGCTGTCCTTCTGCTTGAAGTCAATAACAGGTTCCTGAACATTAAGAAGTATATTTTTGTGAAAAGAATTGTCTACTACCTTTCTCTTCATATTTTGTGAAGTGGACTAAGTAATATTGGAAAACCAAGTGATTGTTGCTACCCTCTTGGTCCGTGATTGTAGGGCTAGCCCTTTCTGAATATTTATGCATTTCAGCTTGTGACCTCTTAACGATTGTTTGAAATATTTGAAGAAATCTAAATGAATGATCCAATGGTTCTGATGAAGGTAGAAAACACATAAAGCAGTAAGTGTCCTGTTCAGTTGTAAAGTAATGTGGAGCGCAGTCCTACCTATTAAATCAGAACAGCTTTTCCCTTCATTGTGACGGAAAATTTCCTCCTTGCACTCTGGCTATAGTGGCAGAATTTCTTTAACATGTCCATCCCTGTACTACTGCATGTATAGAATGAAATTGGTCAGTTTTGGGAATTGACCATTCAGAAACAGACTGAACACCTTCCCTGGTGGAAAGCGAGATGGCCTCTTATCTTTCATAAATTCATTGAAAAATGACTTTCTTGCCTTGTTGCTGTGTGTATTTTCTCATTTGCAGTTGTTCAGTCTTCAGTTCTGTTGTGACAAGTCTGAAGGGTAGCCATGTTAGTTTGTATCTGCAAAAACAAGGAATTCTGTGGCACTTTAAAGGCTAACCATTCATTTGATGGTGGTAGTCTTTACCCGTGAAAGCTTAAGCCCAAATAAAGCCTTAACAAATTTAAGGTGCCACAGGACTCTTCGTTTTTTAGTTCCATTGGCAGTTAAATGCTAACCTATAAAAATAACTCTTCTTTAATTTTCTATAACTTCATTTCATAGTTTATCATTGCTCTAGTTAAAATAACTCAGTTAAGGAATTTGTTTTTGTAAGTAAGCATAAGTATTTAAGCTTATTGGAAAACAAAGTCTTTCTTTTTTGTTACTGATATTGTTCACACTTGTGCTTAAAATATTTGCACATTTTTGACAATATTTGTCTAATTAACCAGTCACCTTAGGACCAGTTTTTTTTTAATGGACTAAAGAAGATGAGTGTAAGCAAAATAAAGGATGGAAGAGTTATCACAGAAGTGTGAAGGGTAGCCTTAGTCTGTAACTTTAAAAACAATGAGCAGTCCTGTGACACCTTAGAAACTAACAAATACATTATATTATGAGCTTCTGTGGGTAAAATTAACTTCATCAGATGGCTGGAGTGGAAATTACAGAATCCAGAATATATATAACAGCAAAAGCAGTTACTTGTCAATTTTAGGACCAATGTTAATGAAGCTAATGAAGTCAGGCTGGGTGTGTCCCATTCATAGCTTTTGATGGGTAAATATGCATATCAAAGGTAGGTGAAATTGCCTTTGTAGTGCATATAAATAGAGCTGAAGTGACTGGAGCTCTTTGCAAATCTGTGGCAGGGATGTAAAATCCTGTTTATCTGGTTAACCATTTAAAGGGGTGGGTGTACCCCGTACTGCTGCCTCTATATAAGAGCCTGTATGCTCCAGCCCCACTCCAGAGGAGCCCTCTGCCACCCTGCATGGCTGCCTCCTATCAGAGGCAGATGCATATGGCAACTGGCAGCTAGTCCATGGGAGGAGCTGGCACCCTGTGCTGCTGCTTCTGATAGAGGCAGCAGCATAGAGTTGGAGGGGGTTCCTTTAGAAATGGACCAGGAGTGTACTGTCTGCTGGCATCACCCCTGGGGACTAGAGAATAGTCAAGTAGCCGATTAAAAAATTCATGAGGTTAATCGACTATTCAGTTGATTGAGATGTAACACCTTCCTCTTCCCATCACCTTCCTTTTCCCTTCTTACACTGTTTAAAAAAGTGTCAAAAAAAAAATCAAAGAAAGCACTGTGGGGATCACAGGGCCAGTGGGGGACTCAAGCAGTACCCTACTGGCCCCATGCTCCCCATGGCGTTCCAAAGCCGCAGCACTGCATGGAGCCAGGTTCAGCTGGGGAGCTTCTCCCTCCTTTCCCCCTGCCTCTTTCTGATTGAGGCAATGTGGGGTGGGGGCAAGCGAGTAGTCCACTAGTGTGTTGACTATCTGATATACAAATACTTATCAGATAGTCGACTAGTCATTCACATCCCTAATATCAAGAGGTCATCCGTTCCAATCCCTGGCCTCAAGGTAGGACCAAACCCAACCAGATCTTCCCTGACAGATGTGTCTAACCTGCTCTTCGGTATCTCCAATGATGGAGATTTCACCACCTTCCTAGACAACTTTATTCCAGTGCTTAATCACTCTGACAGGACATTTTTCATAATGTCCAACCTAAACCTTCCTTGCTGCAATTTAACCCATGCAGTGCTGCCACTTTGAAATGGCACGGGAAGCATGGGGCCAGCAGGGGACTGCCCCACTGGCCCCATGCTCCCCGCAGCGCTTTTGCCTTCAAAGTGTAGCAGTGGCCCCAGGGCTGTTGCTACACTTCAGAGACGGAGGCGACCTTATTGACTAATTGAATAGTCAGTGCACATTGCATCGAAAATTAGATTAACATCCTGGTTATCCAGTACACGCGTTACATTTTAGAAGGCTTCAGTTTAAATTACCCCATTTGCAAAACTGTTGCTGTTTTAAAATATGATCACTAATACAGGCAAGGTTTGTAGCATGTTGGTTACTAAGGTTGCTTCCCATTATAACCTCCTGTTTTCAATTCCTTGTAACTGTAATGGCATTTAATTTCAGCCCAAACAGTTTTCCATTTCAGGTGACTGTCTAAGGCTGATTATATTTTGAATTTCAGCCATTTTGTGAACAAAGTTAGGGGAAGATATAAAAATTGATGACTTCTTAATAGCTGTAGTGCACCCATGCTTTGGTGCAGAGACTTGAAATTTGATGGGATGGGATGGGGGCAGATAGTAAATAAGGTTGTCCACTTTCTAATTACATGCAACCCAATGCGGTGCCCCTTCTGAGACCCTGCCCACCTGACTCCATTGCCACCTCATTCCTTTGCTCACACTCTCTCCCACCCTTCTTTACTTTTGGAGTGGGGGAGCGAAGGGTATAGGAAAGTGCCAGAAATGAGGGATTCAGGATGTAGGAAAGGGTTCTCTTTTGAGGGGAAGGGGGCGTAGGGAGAGAGGCTTCTGGCACGGAGTGTGGACTCTGGTGTGGGGCTGAGGATGATGGTTTTGTGCTATGGAAGGGAGTTCTGGGATGGGACATGGGTTTGGGATCTCAGTGGCACTTGACACAGCTCCTCTGGAGCAGCTGCTGAGACCCCAAGGGAGCTTGGCAGGCTCAGTTGTCTGACATCACACCTGCAGGTGCCAACCCCGTAGCTCCCATTGGTCATGGTTCCCACCCAACAGAAGCTGCTTAAATGGCACTTGGGGTTGGGCAGTGCATGAAGTCCCTTTTGTGCTTTGGGTGGCCGGGACTTGGCAACAACTTCCTGGAGCTGTGTGGAACTAGTGAAGGTAGGGAGACTATCTTGGCCATGGGCCACAGCTTGACCAGAGCTGCCAGGGTCTCTTTTGGACCAGGCCTTCTAGTTGAAAACCAGTCACCTGATAACCCTGGTGGTATGGTAGCCTTTGAGGAATGTGCCATTTGCTGTTTCCATATAAAGTTGGCCACACTTTAAGACTTTCTTTGAAAAATTGTGATGTACACATGCTCAGAATTGATTTTGAGAGAAATTCCTAGAAGAATCTGTTCACACCAAGCATGTTCCAGTTTGGGGTTCAGTTAAGACTTTTCATTGCAGCTGTGGGTTGCTGCAGGCTGTGTTGGCTCTACACCTGGTCTGGGCGCTTCAGTTAAGAGTAGGGTGCCTTTCTTTTCTGATCTCATATTCCTCCAGTGCTGTCCAAGCAGCATGAAGGAAGAAGCTGCTTGGTTTGACTGCAGATGGGATAAGTCCTATAGTGACATTGGAATGGAGGAAGGTATAGATTGGAGCAAAGGCCAAGTGGGCAGGAACAGGAGACTGGCACTTGGGGATGGAAAGTGGAATTGACTAGGCAAAATGACTGAGATTGAAGACTAGTGGTAGGTGGAACGGGTTGGGCAAGGACTGGGAGAAGAAGCTCAGGTCGATGAGGAAGATGCTGGGTGTGTGTGATATGCACTGAGATTGAATGGAACACTGAGGGTGGGTGTGTGTGTGTGTGTGAGAAAGAGAGAGACTTGGATAGGTATGTTAAGTTTAGTTTAATCAACTAATTGACAAGAAATCCATTGACTAGTCAATAAGCAGGGGAGCTAACCCTGCTGCTGTTCTGCTTTTTAAATGTATTAAGAGTCAATAGACTCTTAATATATTTAAAAGGCTAAAGCACCGCAGGAGGGGCCCAGTGAGAACTGGGACAGCTGATTCCTGGCTCGTGCTGGGTAACCCCCCTCCCCCTGCTGTGCACCGGCCTTTTAAATGTATTAAGATCTGATAGGCTCTTAATACATTTAAAAAGCAGAGGTGCAGTGTCTGGGACTAGGTATGAGCCGGGAATTGGCTGATTCCCGGCTTGTATCCAGTCTCTGCTGGCCCCCCCCAGATTGTGGGCTGGAGGGTGAACTGGCTTTAAGCTGGCTTCCCCCCAGCAATGGCTCCTGCTAGTCACTTGTATCCCTAGACTTAGACTGTCGAACGAAAGACCATCTCATTAATAAAGAAGCAGACTTTTGAGGAATTGCTTTAATGTGGTTAGTAGTATATTTAATATACAGTATACTACCACTCAGGGATCATTATGTTGGTTGGTTGCAGTTTCACTGCATATTTTCCGCAAACCCAGCCTTTTAAACCACGTTTTAATTTTTTGTAGCTTATTGTAAATATGTAACTGTGTGTGTGTGTGTGTGTGTGTGTGTGTGTGTGTGTGTGTGTTTAGAGTACTGACAAACGTTTGTTTTTGTTTTGTTTTTTTTAGGCGAGGTTTAAATCCACCCCATAGGGTTAAGTCTATCTCCATGACCACATTCACGCAACAGGAAATAGAATTTCTGCAGAAACATGGAAATGAAGTAAGTGCTTGCTTATTGTAAAATACCTAATGTTTGGTGAATGACTTAATTTGTTCTAATACTTGAATTTGAGAATTTCTCAAGAGAATGAGTGCTGCAGCTCAAAAGTAAATTGAGGAATTCAAAGTTTTGGACACTTTTAAAAAGTTCTTTCAATTACCATGGGGGATGGGGGGAGGATTTTTTCCTTATTGTAGTGATGCACTATTTAGTAACCAGCAGACACCTGGATTCATACAACTAGCACCTTCCACTCTTCATTTTAGGTGTGTTTCTCACCTAAATGTAAACAGACTTGTTTATCTGAGCAATTGGTTGAACAAAAAGTAGGACTGAGTGGACTTGTAGGCTCTGAAGTTTTACATTGTTTTGTTGTGCAGTTGTGTAACAAACCCTACATTTGTAATTTTCACTTATGACCGAGATTAAACTACTGTTCTTTTGAGATGAATTAAGACACTATTTTTTATTTTAGAAACATTTGCGCAAAATAAACAAGTGAGCACTGTATACATTGATTTCTATTACAACAGAATTCAAAGTATTTGAAAACTTAGAAAACATCCAAAATTTCAATTAATAGTCTATTGTTTAATCTTGAAATTGGTTTTTAATCATTTGCCAGTCCTAATAATGTTTAGGGTCTTGGCAACATTCCTTTGAAGCATAAGTAAGTAGCTTCTAATCCATAATGCTTCCATTGTACTTCCATTGTGGGCTCCAATAAGTTCTCTGCCCCTTTCCCTCTGCTATCCTTCCTCTCCTCAAGGACTTGAAGAATTAATTTTACTAATACACTTTTACTGACATCTGTACAGTTGAGATTGCAAGGAGCATGCAACTGATTTTCTTTTTCCTCTTTTAAGAGACTGGTGATGCCTTCAGTCTCCACAGAGGGAGCTTACCAGGCATGAATATAAGAGTGCATACTGGATCTCTCAGGAATACATAGCAGAAGATAACAGGAGTTATAGTGAAACATACTGATGTACTTCAAGCACCTGACTAGAGACTCTGAGCTAAAGGAGGGGAAATGGATACCTAAAAAGAACAAAAGTGCTAGCTGTATGAATCCAAAAAAGGTTCTATGGTTTAAAGAAATTGCCATGACACATCCCTCAGCATCAATTGGTATTTTGAAAGTGTCTTAAAGAGAAGGATTTGATTTTTTTTTTTTTTAAATCAAAGGTTCCAGCATTTAGAATCTTTCAAGAGCACTTAAAATACCAAAAATCTTCAATTTCAAACACAGTTGTGCATCAAAATGTATCAAACAATCCTATACACTTGGTTTTGTCTAGGACTGATAATGAAACCTTATAGACTTTAAGGTCAGAAGAGACCATTTTGATCATCTAGTCTGACCCACTGCACAATGCAGGCCACAGAATCTCACCCACCCACTCCTGGAATAATCCTCTTACCTATATCTCAGATATTGAAGTCCTCAAATGATGGTTTAAAGACCCCACGATGCAGAGAAACCTGAACTTCTACGCTGAACTATTTGATATTTTATGTCATATCTTTCAGCAAGCAGCCCTCCAGTCCACTGCAGAGATTGATCTGCATTGAGAACTTGTCTGCAAGTTTTTTCACCAATAATTATCAGTTTCTAAGCCAATATGGCTACATTAGTGCAAAAAGTGTGTGGGGATAGCTTTTGGTTTTGATGTTGGTTTAAAAATTTAAACAAGCTATGCCGATTAAACGCTTTGACAGAATAACTGTCCACACATAAAGGTTTGCCCTAACTAGACAGTTTAGTTTATTTTGGTCTTACTCAGTTTTTTCCAACAATTTAAGACAAACTCTAAATTGCAAATATCAAATCACCTGTACAATTAACCTTGGGTTTTGTCATCCTCCTCTCCATGTTTGAAGAACTATACTTTAGGTTGAATGGATTTTAATGGAAGTAGTGTTTGTGACAGCACTGTGCAATAGAAAGCCAGTTACACATTTAACTGACTCAACCTGATTTCATACAAAGTATACTTACAACCGTTATTACTGGAAGAATAAAATCCCTCCAGTTCCTTCTCAGTTGCCCTCAGCTTGAGATGGAGCTCCACAGTTCTCTGCCTTACTGACACTCAACTAGTTATTAGCCATTAATTGTTAGTAGGCAGTTAGTGTTCTTCTTATGTAGTTAGTAGTTGTAGTTTTTTAAAAAAAAAACTTTTTTCTGTCATGCCTGGCTCTCCGGTTTTTAAACAGTGCACCTCTTGCAGAGATGCAATCCCAATCCCCAACAAGTTTATTTAAATTGTGGAATAATTTAAATACAGGCAGTCCCCGAGTTACACGGATCCGACTTATGTCGGATCTGCACTTACGAACGGGGCTTTCTCGCCCCGGAGCTCGCAGGCAGTGGGACCGCCCAGAGCGCAGCGGTCCCGCCACCTCGACCTCCGGGGCGAGAAAAGCTGCTCCGGGTGCCCCTGGTCTGCTGGGGACCGTCTCCAGCAGACCAGGGACACCCGGAGCAAAGCCGGGGAGGCGGAGGGGTCCCGCGCCTCTGAGGCTTTGCTGTGGCAAAGGCTCAGAGGC